GCAAGGACGTCAAGACAAGACTTCACAAGCCATGTAGGGATTGGATCCAGGGAGCATGAGGCATTAGACGATGTACTGATTATATTGCAAACATCTTCCACTGATAACGGCGAAAAACTGTCAAGTTCTACAGCTGGAGCAGCAGTATCAGAATAAGGAGGATTAACTTCAATATCACTGATGGAATCTTTGATGAGTTCAATTTTTTTAACAAAGAATTCCCCAAATTTATTCGCAAGTAGAACTGGGTCATCATGAGGTGGTAGATCATTAACATTAGGACCCTTACAAAGGAATGAAACCAATTTGAACAACTTCCCGGAGTCACCAGCGCACTGACCAATTAAATCTGAGTAATAAGAAACTCGAGTAGACTTGAGAAGAGCAGAATATCTATTACAGATTTTACGATAAGCAAGCCAATCTGAAGAAAGATCACTTTTAAGAGCTTTCCGCTCAGCCTTGCGACGATTACGTTTAAACTGGAGAACATCAGCGTCTCTCGTCTGGAGAACATGCCGCGCCTTCGTCAGAGACAAAGTCTTAATTACTATTCTGGCCCTCAAGGGGCCAGAATTAGAAATTCTGTTTGGTTTTTCCTGTGCAAGAAAATGCACAATAGGTGTTACGTAGCAGTTTTTAATCGACATAAGGCAACGTGGTGGACATAGTCTGGGAACGAGGTTGAGTTTTGGCATCGAGTGTCAGTCAGGCTTGAAGTGCTGGGCTGTGCATAAACAATAACCGAACGCGAATAGACCAATTTCGATATATTTCAACGTGAAAGACTGATGACGAAACTCCGACACCGAAGCGAGGCTCCAGGGAATACGGCGCGAATAATAAAAACAAACACTGCAAGGACAGCCATGTGCGATTGATAAATAGGGAATATTCTCGGTTTTTTTTTTTTGGTCCATTGCTGTTCATCTTCGCGTGTAGCGTGGTAAAGTATTGTGCTGTTGTGCTTTGCCGCAATGGGAGTAAGAAAAGATCGGATCTCAGTTAGTTTTGCTTTCCTACAAGGCCCAATGAGCGTGAGAAGTGGGAAGTTTTCTGTAAGCGAGCAGATAAAAAATTCAAGGAACTGGGCGATCCATGAACCTGTTCCTTGCATTTTAAGGAAAACGAAATCGAGTTTTCAATTTCTGGTAGAAAAAGTGTACTTTCAGATTGCTATCCGACTATCTTTGATCCAACGAAATCTACTAATACTGAGTTCACGTTCGAAACGTCTTGCCGATAGGAAGGCACAGTGTGATGAACAACCGCAAGCCAAGAAAGTTTGTCCCAGAAAGCTCGACGAGGACTCCAATGAGACTTGCGTGGATTTTAGTGCTGATGCAATTTCAGTAAACCATGATAACTCGTACTTTTGCAGCCAGGAACAAGCAACACTGAAAAGTAACTCGAACGGTTCTGATACTACGCTTCCGAATGGTAAATGTTCTACGGCATGTCAAACAGACTTGACAACTGATGAAATAGACTACTTAGTGACTGACCTGGAAGAGTTCAGGAGGGAGAAGATAGTTGCATATATCTGGGAAGGTGACTTCTGGAAATATCGAGAGGTTCCTACTCCAGTTCGATTTCAATATGGATGCAGGGTCTGGCAAAACACCCTCGTCTGTGGCAAGTAATTCAGCCATATGATTTTCATTTTCACTTTCCCCTTCAGTCACTTTCGATAGCTTCATTGAATGAGCATTAAACGCAAGCTCAACCAACTCGGTCTTTCTTTTACACTTTCCTTCCGAGGATGTTTGTATCCCTCTTCCTTGAAGGAAGGTTCGCAACCACGGCAACTTTTGACGCCGAAAGTATTGCAGATTGATCTCGCCTTTTTTGCCGACGTGGCCATGACAACGATGATTACTTCGATTTACTTTCAACTCGAGGAAACTACGAATTTACACTGGAAAAACGATAATAACCCAAAAAAGCAGTTTCTGCTCGAAGATGTGAACAACCAAAGCTCGATTCGAATGAATTTTGTTCCCCGAAGCCTCGCTTGGGTGTTCAAGTTTCGCTACCAGTCTCTCACGTTGAAATATATATTCCCACGTAGACTCTGTGACCCCCTCCCGCAGTATGATTTTATTTTGTCAGCGGTCGTCCCACGTTAGTAATAACTAACTAAGGGAGAATACAACTTGAGGACTAAGGTTGAATCAGCTGTTAATTATAACCAGCGGTAAGAATACTGCGCTTTCATTAAAAGTCACGTCCTCATCAGGGCTCATTGACCTCACCTTGCTTACGAGATGTCATCCGATTTTTTTGCAAAGCGGGCTTGTAGCCCTAACTGTAATCCAAATAGTTCTCGTGAACAATCTACGTTAGTTAAAAAGGAAATCGATTTTCTTAGTGCTAACCTCTGCGAGGTACGCGTTGATAGTGACAACGGCTACGGGTTTTTGGATGGGACGGAGGAACGGAAGGAAGATTTCATTGAGCAATTCACAACATTGAATTCTACATGTTTTGTGCGCTCCACAACAGGCGTCAAGGACTGGTCACGGAAATCATCCGAAAACGGTATTTTCAATCTTCTTTACTATTTTTTGTGCAATTTATGTTTGCAATTTTCGGGAAAACGAAAACGATTGCGCAAAACAGAGGACGAATACAGTCAAGGCAGGCCATGCCAGGGTTTTCGTCTTTCTATTTCAAAACAACGCGACCTTTCGCTGTCTTATTTTTGTTAAAGGTGAGAATGTGCTAGTCATTTATTGACCCCAGAGGCCACGTCCATATTCATGTAGAAATGAAACCGAAATATTATGTCGCAACAATTCAATAAAATTAAGTAATCAAGTAGCCAACTATCTACTGCATTCCACACGTGCGTTAACAGATTATTGCACAACTTCCACCGGTGAGAAAATGAGTACGAAGGAATACGAAATCATCTTCATAAATGTCAACAATCATTCACGGTTGTCTCGATTTAGCGACCATTAATAAAGCGTTTATCGTAGTCTCAAAATGATTAAATTTTTCTTTACTTTCGGCCCGATAGGTTTTTGACAGTTTAGACGGGTTTAGAAGAAAAGACGAGGCGCTGTGAAAAACATGCGCGTGTGGACCGGAACTGTCCAGTTTGTACTCTTTCTTTTTCTTTTTTTCCGGAAAACAAAGAAAGCAGCTTAAGGTTGTGAAAGCTCGAGTTTCCACAAATCTTTGATTAACTGAAAAAAATTCCAAGGATGACACGTGGGTGGATACCTAAACGGTAAATGTGTGGGGAGTAAATTATTATACCAAGGTAAATAAAGATCTTTATTTTCTTCTCAGAGGGCACGGCAACGAATCCTGTAATCTAATTGCCGGGCTCTTAGGGCGGTGAGTATTTTTCTATCTCTGCCCACGGGGACGATAACGCTTTCGGGAGGTTTCGTGAGCGTTTGTTCGCAACAATTGAAACAGTTTTGAGATGAAAAAAAAAATAAATATGTTATTTACCGTCTAAGGGTCGGTCCATGAAGTGAAAAACTTTGACCTCGGTCACAGTTTATCACCGTACGGACCTCCCAGCCGGCAAATAACATATATTTAGTGTGAAAAATACATTTGAAGTAATGGAAAAGAAATCAGGTTTTCAGGGTTCATTAAACTTAAAATAAAACACGGTGGAGAATTTCCGAACAGACTTGGAAAACACCAGGCTCTGGGCTCTGTGGACAACATAAAAAGAAAACTGAATAAATGTCGTTTTCACAGCCTCTTCATAAAATACTCTATTCGCAAGTGCAGGAAATCTTTGTTGGAAAACAGAATCATCTCTTTTGCTTTGTGGAACGTTTTTCAATATTTCAATGATCGCGCTCCGTTACAGCTTTGTTAAATCTCTCTTTATAGTTTCGGTAGTTCCGTCTTTTGCAGTACAACCCATGTTTGAGCAAAAGTCTGGCAACCTTCCTATTGCCTGTCTGGTCCACCCATTCTCAGTGATAACCATGGAAACAAGAAATTGCCTACATGGATCAAAGGCGGTATGGATACTATTGACACGGTTTGCTACGACATTTTAGAGAACTTGGCATAGAGCGCTTAGCCCCTTCTCATTATTTTTTGTTTCTTTATGAAAACATAGGATTCTCGAGGTGGAAAGAAACAGAAACCTCCAGATACCTCAGGACACGATTACTCAGCCAGCTCCGGAGGTTACATTAAAGTTGAAGGAACAAGAAAACTCGACTGCCCAGCAAGTCTACAAGTACGAGCTATACAGTTGTACACTGATTATACTTTAGAATCTGAAGAGTGCTCGTCAAAGAAAGGTCTACGGAAGGCAAAAGCCGTGATTCTCAAGCAATTTAAGGATGACATGTAGACGGGAAAGCGCCTAAGAACGACAACAAGATTCTATTTTAGGCTTCCTATTAGTACAGCATACAGCACACAAAGTACATCCTGTCGGGGAGGTCGCCACAGTAGGTCATTCCATCCATCCGAAAATCGCAAGCAGGATCCGCGAGCTAGTTAGTAAAAATATAACTAGTCCAGATGTGGTACTGAAATGCTTGGAGCTGTACAAAAAGGCACTCAAACAAACAAAAGATAAAATACAAAACAAGATCTTACTGAAGACAAAATTGAAGGCACATTTTCAGAAGATGAGGATAAAATGCCCTTTTTTACACTGTGCATTCCAATCTAAGTTAATCTCCTGCCTCAAACAATGAAAGGCAGACTTATCATCCCTGAACACAATTCAGGTGATTACAGTGATCAACATGTTGTTAACAAGAAATATGCTCACACTAAAATATCAAATTTGTCTGGTTTATCTTTACCTAGTTTATCTGCAATTGTGACAAAAGGTGTTAACATGAGAAAGTTTAAAATCACCGATCTTCGTTCACCAATAAGCCAACAAAGAGATGCTGGAAATATATTCTATGTTGACTTAAAAAAAAAAAGAGTTTGTTAAAGCTAGACGGCTCAAGATCTATGCAGGGATTAATCGATATGGGTGATAACAGAATAACAGATCTGGCAAGAGTACAATTTAATGATGATTTTGTAACACTAACCCAGAGGAGAGAAATAACAGACAATAAAGTTGATTTTACTAATCTTCTACCACAAACAATGAGAGGCAGACTTTTAATTCCTGATTACAATGCTAGTGATAACAGTAACCAAGATGTTGTAAACAAAACAATATATTGATGCGAGAGCATTCACGATATCAGGTGGTTTAGATATGAAAGGAAATAAAATCACAAATATCGGTACACCAAGAAATAAAAAAGGTGTGACCGATAAAAACTATGTTGCCGCACAGGTGAATTCTTTTCTGACACTTGATGGTGCGAAGGCAATGACTGGCGATTTAAACATCAATTCAAAAAGCATAACCTATCAAGAACAGCAATAACATGAAAGTACTCGTGCTATAAATGCCAATTATGTAAATAAAACGATTTCAGACAGTACGTCAAAACGAATTATGAAAAGTATGCGAACGACAGATTGATCACTTAATCCCAACTCCTGTTTTGACCAACGTTTTTGTTTAGGCAATGGAAAGAATTGGGAAGTTCAGTAAAGATGATATCACAGGTGTTCGTTTTATTGATAATCAAAAACTTTGCGTTAATCAAAATACACGTCAATACATATTGCAGCTTGATACGAATAAAGGATTTTGCGATTTTATGACAAACAAATGAGTATATAATTGTTTTTGAAATCTTTTGGACAAATAATAAAATTGATCATAAAACAGTTCAATTATCTGTGACAAGCAGTGTTCAGACTGTAAGTAGATATTCAACGAATAAGTTCAATGATCATGTGAGAACAATTGCTCATATTTAAAAATACAATAATGCAACACCAAACTTATTTGATGTTTGACATTTTTATGAAAAATAAATCAGATGATAGTAATTATCAAACTTGTCCATTTCTGTTGTTGTATGACAAGCCAATCAGTAAAAAGCAATTTGATGGCGTTACTACTGATTTATATACAGTCGATAATGGAAACCTAGAGATAAAGAAGGAATTAAAAATTGAAGATGCAGTCAATGACGATAATCCATGACAAGAACAATTTGATGGTAAGACAACTAGTGTCTTCTATAATTGCAGCTATCAAGAAAATAGCGGACTAAAAATTATGTAACATAATAATATAGAATGGGGATTATCATGAACAACCAAGACGAAACAATGAAAAAAAGAAAACTCAGAAACATACTCAAAACAATTCACTCGTCAAAAATAGTTATCAGAAGGACGTTAAAAAAAGATTCACCCATTCAGTCAACAACAAATAATATATACAACAACAAACATATATACAACAAATAACGATTAAGATCTTTAGCCCCCTACACCCTGTGTTCAAATTCTCCACAGTTTTCTTTACATTTCCTGTTGTACTGGAAATAAGAGGTTGTTTGACAATCAGGAGCTTCCCAGATTGGTGATCGTTGCCTTCATCGTCATAGAATTTACATTTGATTCAAGGTTGATAATGTGAAACGAGACTAGAGGGAAGTCACTCTTAGGGTAAAGGGTTAAATTCACGGCTAAAATATAGAATGAATACGTCAATTAAGGCACTTTGTAAAACATCTCCAAGGGGAACATTTGCCTTTTCTCGGAATTCTGCACACTAGAATCCAGATTGGTATTCACTCATTCATTCCTGTCTGACTGTACAATGGATGGCGGCAAATTGGACAGCTGCGACTGCAGATAAAACGGAAATATTTCAGGTGAACTCGAGATAAACTAGTGTGGGACTGTTACTGTAAAGTCTCGCCTCATTATAATTAAAAGTCTTTCAAATTTTACCCATGAAATTATATCGCTTTTGATTCAAGAGGAAAGAGCGTGTTGAAACCAAAACTGAAGAAATCTCTAGAGCTAAGAAAAGCTAAGGGGACAGAGAATCAGGGCAATACCCGGGATATATCAATTTCACAGGAGTCAGTATTCTCAGCTAAGGCGGGAACGGAAGTCTGTTTCTCCGAACGTCCGCAGTGTGGATTCTTAATGTGGTTTCCTATCATTCCCCAAGCTATTTTAACGGGAAAAAAATCGCTGTTTTTCAATATTTTTCATCCAATGCGAGATTACGTGAAATACCGACAAATTTTCAGCGAAGCAGTGTAGTGTTCTTCCATATTTAAGTTTATTCACAAAGTAGACATCACGACTATATTTCATGCATACTTACACGCCGCTCTGTATCATAGCAATAGCACACTCTCGGTGAACCTTGTGTGAGCATGGCAGGATCTGACAACCGCTGAAAGCGTCCTGGAAATAAAGAATCGATCAATATAGAGTAACTTGGAAATACAGCGTAATCTAATCGCTCTGCTCAGCAGTCGAGATCTGGTAAAAAAAACTTTCTTTTACCAGATTTCGACTCAAGACAAGACAAGCATAAGACAAACTTTGTCTTAACCGAGCAATCAATAATTGATTGCTCAGTTAATTGCAACGGCTAAAGGGCAAAATCGTGCGGCAGATATTTCTCCTACTACTTACTCTTACTCAAGTTTGATAGGTAAATTAAGTAGCTACCTCCAAACAGATGCAGCACTCATCATGTCCTGAATTTTCTCGGCAAGAATGTCTTCCTTCCAGCCGTTTGTCCAGACAGACGTTACACACATCACAGTGGAAGGAACGGTCCTTGTAGATACTGAAAGGAAAACAGAAACATTACTTTGCACTCGAGCACAATATGATTAGTTGGGCAAACACACTTTAAATTCATTCGAAACACGCTGTGTTTTTTCAACTCGATAAGCTGGAATAGTACTGAAAAGAAAATATGATACGCATGAAGAAACCAAAACTAATATTTTGTCGGACTCTTTCGCCTTTTTGAGGAACAACTACCCAGGGGGAATTTTAAGCACTTGTCGATGAAGCATTTCTTTTATCCTGTAAGGCTCTCGCCTTAAATATGGCGCCAGGATTCTTCATTTCCATTGTAACACGAATAATTAACTCCCTGACTTGGTACTGAGGCGGGCCAATAACTCCCTGTCCTTTATTCTTTTGGAGAACAAGAATGTCATCCAAACAAACGAAAACAATATTATCAGTGATATTGTTTCACCTACCGACAGATACCGCATTTTGTACAGTGATAAGGAGCTTTATCTTCCCCTGTAAAGTGTTTACACACAGAGCAGAAATATGCTGAAAACCTTGTTTTACATCTGGCACAGGTGTGGGCGTCCTGGTTGATCTTAAAATTTCAAACCCATAGAAGTAAAAGTCGTTAAGCTAATTGTAACAACTCTATTTCCACTCATGTAAAAAAAACTTCAAGTTAATGTCACGTCTACCTACCTCTTGTCGATGGTTACAAACAGAGCACTCAACATAACACGCCTCTCTTGCTTTGCAATTGTCATTTGGACACCTTGAGTTGTTGTGGCAACGATGACAAGGAAAGAACCTTCCGCAGCATGGGAACTTGACACGGCAGAGCCGCTGGTAATGTTCGCACTGCCATTGTCGAACCTCAGCACCAGCCGAGTTTTGTGTAGGTGTTTCTTGTCCACCGCTCGTATCGTTCCCTTCAACTCTTTCACTCCTGCACTCCGTTTCTCTTGATTCCCTCGCTTCCTTTTCTTTTCTGTCACGTGCCTGTTGTTCTTTCTTTGCCCGCTCTTCTTTTCTTTTTTTCTCAGTTTCTTTCATCGTTTTCTCTCTTTCTTGTCTTTCTTTCAACGTTCTTTCGACGAGCGAACAAGCCTCAGCCACACGTCGCTCGAGTAGAGCCAACGATTCGTCAGCAGATGCGTTTGAATTATTGTTTAACAGACCCAGACCTGCCACAGCACTTTCCTCGTCCGGAAAAAATCTAGGAGCGTCATCTTCTCTTTCAAACTGTGATGAGAACGTCGGCCTTTCAGTGAGTACATGTCCATCCACGGAGTTATATGGCGGAGTTCTTGCTTGTACATCACCATTGGGAAACTCTCTGACTATCAACGGCAGATTTGCTTTAGATTTTGATTTAGATTTTACTTTACATCCATCTTCGAGAAAACCTGAAGATTGAGGCGGTTATAAGGTCTTCGCTGGAACAATTTTAGGCATTAGGACTAGGTTTAGAGATGGCTCTTCATGCTGATACTCATCAGGACTTACGTATGCTTTTGGAGGAGATCCCATTGCATCAGGACATCCAGGATATGTCGATGAACTTGAGGGAGTTGGGCAGTACATCTCAGGCATGTACCCAGATCTGTCGTACTTGGAGTGGAGATATGCATCAGATGCATTGTACTCATAAGAATGGCGTGCGAGAAAACTGGGATCTATTCCAATGTGATTTGTTCTAAATTCATCCTCACTGGGATCCCTATGTGAACCGTGGCCCAACGGAAAATTGCTTTGGCGTCCACCTTTCAAGCCAAGAGATCCTTTTGCTTTCGAATTACTCTCATGGGAATCTCGTCGTTTTGGAGGGGCAAAAACTGGAGTATTCCACTCTTTGTCAAAACCACATGCTCCATTCGTGGCGAGTACATCGGAGTTTTCACCGCTATCCGTACCCACATCTCCTCCATGAAAAGAAGCTCTAAGAGCGTCATTCCATCCATCACAGACTACATTTGATGTTTCCAGTATCCTTTGTGAGACGCTGATTCCTCTGTTCTTATCCTTTTGGGAATCATTTTCAAGACAATCACCTTGCCTGCCTCTATGGTTTCCTTGAGCAGAAATTTGAACTAGTTCGTCTAATTCTTCGTTGCTGTTCAACTTTCCACTGTCTTCTCTAAAGGATGGAATATCAGGGTCCACAACATCGGCTGCTGCGTCACAAGAAAACTCTCGCCTGCATCGGTCAGGGTACGACTTCAACTGACGAACCTCTTGAAAGTCCTTGCACAATAATAGCCTTGCAAGGCCGATATTACATTGCACTAAATCTGGGTGATCTGAGCCGAAGTTCGAACTTGTCAAAATACTTAATGCTTGTTCAAAGCAATTCTTTGACGACAATTTTCGTTCCATCAGAAAAAATCTGAAACCTTGCCTGTAGAGAACGGATGCATATGTTGGGTGGTTTTCCCCTAGCATTTCTTCACAATTTGGTACAAAAAAATCAAGGAAAGATACGAAGTCTAAGTTTTCTTCTTTCAGGTGAAAATCAACTACATTTAATATAATTGCGAACAAGAAGTCCCAATTGAATTTTCCATAACATTCGAGGAAGGCTTCAAAATCGGGAAGGAAAAGGGAAAATGAAGACATCAGTGTCGAAGCAGAAAATGAAGATGACGATGAAGATGATGGTGACGATGATAATGATGATGACCCTGACCCTGCTGATGACGAGCACGATTTTGAGGATGGAGAGAGGGGCAGTGATGCTGATTTGGGAGAAAGAGATGGGAAAATCAAGCGCTCGGCTATTTTCTTTGCACGAGCCACCTCTCCAATCATTTGATACGCCAAACAAATTTTAGAAGATATAAATTTCGAGAATATTCCATCTTCATTGTTCATCCTCTCAGAAAGTGAATCCAATATATTCAGCTCCGTAAGTGCTTTGAAAGGTTCTTTGAGCTCTAAGAACAACTCTGCTCGATTGTAATGTATGGCAGCTACCAGTGGAACGGGAAGATTGAGTTCTTTTGCTTTCAAAAGGAGACAGTCTTGCAACTGCACTGCTGCTGGGTAGTCTTTCTGACACTGGTATACTGTGCTTAAGTTGGTTTTTATACTAACGATGTTTATATCTACAGAAACATTTTTGTTTTGGTTTTTAAATTTTTCAAAAATCTCCAGCGCGCATTTTAGATGATCCTCAGCCTTGTCGATCATTTTAGTAATTAGATAAACGCAGCCTATATTAGCCTTCGCTAATCCTATGAAAATATCAATAACTTCCATGTTGTTTTTAGTTCGTGGCGTGACATCACTTGTGAAAAGAGAAGAACATCGCTGAAATATATCAATAGCCATGTTATATTTATGTAACTTTAGTGCAAGAGCACCAAAGACAATAGTAAAGATGGCATAAAAATGGCCATCCTTATCCGGTATCGGCTCCGGGCTCGACAAAACTACACCCAGGAAAGGAGCTGAGAAACGACTAAAGCACATCTTGGTACCTCGCTCTATCTGCTCCTTCTCGTAATCAGTTGGGTTTCCGAAGCTATCTGGATTTAGTTCCAGTATACATAGATGCTTATGTGCAGCTTGCAAAGACTTTATGGCCATCTTCACCTTGCATTTCTGAAGCTGATCCATCGTCTCTTCGATATGTTTAAATGTGCTGCATCTGGCCGAATGATTATCATCATGTTCCAACTCATCCTCAAGATGGTGTCCTAAACGAGCGTTTGTGGTGATCTTAGGGTATGTTCTTTCCATCTCTCTAGATCAAATTCATCACTCCTGGAAATAAGATAAAACCAAAATTCATCCAAATGAAGTATCAACAAATTTTGGATAATAGAGCTGAATAATTCTGTAGGCCATGGCCTTGGTCAGCTTCTCCCGCCGCGAGTGTCACTTGCGTTCTCACCCAGGTCCTGTAGCACGCTGGCCCATAGTCTTTGATGAGAGTCTAGTATGTCTATATGACATTATAAACAGTTTAAAATAGAATGATTAGGTTTCGAAGGAAAAGGATTTTACTTCCGCGTTCTCCTAAAAAATTCCGCTATTTCAAAAACTTAATCAGACACTCCGAGGCAAATAACAGACACTGAATATCGACTGAAAAATAGCTTCATCGGCGTGTGCGGTAAAAACGAGGAACAGATTCAAGGCGTCCTTTTGTTCTTGTAGGGAAGGAGCAGGAAAAAATAACTACCGTTTGACTGTACCCACGCTATTGTTCCAGCTGTTCCTCCGTATATACAGTTTACGAGGGGGGCATTGAAATTTTGGTTTTGCGGTTTTGGCAATTTTTAATTTTAGACCGTTTTCTCGGTTTTTGTGCCAAAAAACTTCGTTATTTGGTTTTCGGCTTTAGTCCAAAATACTAATGGGTTACCGAATTTGGTACCTGAAGTAGTTTTCGTTTTTTTTGGGGGGTTACGGTTCCACTTAGCTCGAATATGTTCAACTTTTCACCATTGTATTGTATCCATTTAGGTCTTGATAAATGGGATGTTAAAATTCATCAGTTTTAACGATTTTGTATGCGTTTTTCGCTTTTGATCGTATTTTTTGCGGTTCTGCGTTTTGGATTATTTCTTCTACGGTTTTGCGGTTTCTAATAGACCCTGATGTCCCCTTCATATATGAAAGAGGCTTTTCGATGGGTTACTTGATATCAGGTGATCATCGAATGGATTTAAATAACAGCGTGGTGGTCGAATCATAATGTTCTATGGACGAACCCTGGGAGGAAGCTAATCGAGAGTCTCTTTGTTTAACTCCAAACGAGCCAACTGTATAGGATATGCAAAGGAAATGCCATCAACAAGCAAAAAAGGAAATAAATTGGGGATAACAACACTAATGACCTCAAACAAAAACTGTAAACAATACGAACCATCCCATCTCATCTGTGAACTTTACCTTTGAAAGGTAATGTACGCACTATGTTTACAAACTTTGTCCGCTCTGCCAAAAATCTCGTCAAGTTTTGCCTCCGCTGAATTATAAATTGATAATCACAAACGCACTTGGAAACTCCAAACTATTTGATAAACACAATGAATCAATTTCATTGAAATCAAATACTTTACTTTAGGTTACGTCCACAGCTGAGAAACATATGTTTACATGCATTCAGATTAACACGCTACAGAGCAGAATCTGCACCTAGTTCCTGAAGTTGAACGGTTGGCATGTTTCCTTGGAGGTTTTACTAAGATTAATACCGTCAACATCCGACATCCTAGTTATGGCTGAACCGTAGGACGATCTTCACCGGTGGTCGCTCCAGCGCTGACCCCGCGTAAGGCCTGTTTACAAGGCGCGTCACGCCTTCTTTTTTCAACTTTGTGATTGGTAGCGATTGGAGGTTTATCAAGCAAACGCTTGAGCAATGTTTTGTCCACCGCCGTTATTTTTTTGCACTCCTCCCCTCTTGCGTGACTTGCACTTCGCTCTCACAACGCGCTTACCTCTGTTTGACTGAAAAAATAAAATTTCGCCTATTCTGCTGGCCTGGGTTGTCTAGTTCTACGTGAACAGCATTGAAATGAAAACTTAGGCTGAACCATGACAAAATAAAACAATCCGACGAATGCTGCTTGTTCGCACGAGCAAGTTTCAATTGGGTGTCGAAAGTACACTTTACTTCGTTAGGTGACTGACAACTCATGCCATCCACTCAGCCAATCAGATTAAAAAATTTCCTTGGCTAAGACAAACTTCTTTTCACTATGGACATTACATCTCTTTATACTGTCATTCCTAATGACAAAGGTCTTCTGGCCCTGAAACATTTTTTTTTTATCAACGCACTGTTAAGGAACCTATATCTGAAATACTACTTCGTTTAGCTGAACTAGTGCTCACATTCAATTGTTTTTCATTCGGGGACCACTTTTTTAAACAAATCAATGGCGTAGCCATGGATACCAAGATCGGATCCAGTTATGCCAATCTTTTTGTAGGTTTTGTCGAACACCAATTTTTCGGCCAATACAACGGCTCCCAACCTGAACTCTACGGTTGCTACATCGGCGCTGCCTAGGCGCTACCTCCCCCTACCAGAGAGGAGCTAACTCAATTCATAAAGTGAATTTCTTTCGGCTGGCCCTAAAATAAACTTGGGAAATTTCCGACAATTCTTTATCTTTTTTAGACATCAAAGTTTCAACTGAAGGCAACGGTTTATGCACGAGTTTTTATTACAAACCTACAGACTCACATAGTTACTTGCTGTATTCATCTTCGCATCATCCCCTTCACGTCAAGTATTTCATTCCCTTTTCTTAGTTTCATACGCCTCCTGCAAGAGGCAGTTGCCACAAAAACTTGCCAAACTTTGGCAGATCGGCAAAATTTTCGCCGATCTTCAGAGGACCCGATGTCGTGCCACAGAAGCGTCCAAATATTGGCAAAACAAACAGTGTTTATAATTATTATTTTTCTTTTTTACCATTAAGATGGCTGATTCCGGTTTTCATCTTTTTGATGGTTTGTAACTTTGAAAGAATACAACAAAAAGACTGACCAAGGCCAGCTGAACACTTTTACGGGGTTGAATTATATAATCATTGGTGATCCAAAAATAGGTGTCATTTCGTCACTAGCAGTTTCCATGGCAACGCTTTTAGAGGCTTATTCAGACGCGTTTTTTAGCTTGTGGCTTAAATAATTCGAAAACTAACCAGGTGGCCCTATGATTTTTTCCAGTGATTGCTTTTGGCACTTGAAAAGGAAAATGCACAAAGATTTTTAAAATTTTCTACGGAGTGGAAGTTCAGAAAGTCTAGAAAAAAGGCAATTTTCACACATCGCAAATTTCCTTCCGTAGAATTTTCTAGTTTTTTTTC